GAATTAAATCTAAGAAGATAATCTTTCAAAAACATGTAGACTGCACAAAAAGAAGTCTGCCTTGCTGAACATTTGCTCCTGGGTCTATCATATTCTAGTAGAAGACTTATCTACAGTGTTTTGAACAATGAAATTATCAACTTACAGACTCACACAACTTGTTGGAAACCTGATCTTCTGGAAAAGTTAACATAATAGGAATTAAATGTCAGACTCCCCTCTGCCCCATTGCTGAGCCTTCTCCTAGCAAAACGTAGGCAGTCCACCTTCCAGAACCTCTGGATTACACTGTGTGCATACACAAAGCTGATTCTCCTCCCCCATTAGTGTAATTAGCACTGCTTTCATTAAAATTAACAGAATCCTCACTGTGTATTTCAGGGCAGCAGTGAGTACTAGGTCGTGCAGAGTACTCACTGCCCTACATGGCATACGCCCCTCCTCCCTCCCAACAGCACCATCCTCACACAATATACACCTTGGAATCTCCCAAGGCACTGACAATAATTACTTGCATCCATATTAACAAGAACTATAGGTGTTAGTATGCTACCACGTTACAGCTTAATCAATTCAGTATTGTTCAGCTACGGTGTTAGGAAATTTTAAAACTGAACTTGTTTTGTGGTTCCAAGAAAAATCTCATTTTGAATTAAGCATACAAAATCTCTTAGTCAGAAAGGTGTTGCAACACAGAGGTGTTGCATGTGACACCTGAAGTCTGCCCTGTTATTAGTGACATCGCTGAACAGGAACGTTATCATAGCTAATTAACATCTAAAGTATCCACTATCTATTAATTAATCACACTAACGCCAGAGGAGAATCAGCTTCATTTATGCAGAAGGTCCTTGAAGGTGAACTGCATGTATTCTGCCAGGAGACTCAGCAATGGGGCAGAGGGGCATTTGACATTTAATTCATACAGTAGATTTGTATTTGCTTTGATGACTGTTTACCGTTTTTTCATCTGTTTAAATTTCAAATAGTGTAATACAGCTTCTTACCATTGCTAATGATTTAGATATGGTGCCACATGGAACCACAGCATCACATGGGAGGCGCCTAGTTAATCTGGAAAAAAATGGGGGTTACTAGAACTGTAAAAAAAGTCAAGAAGCTGGCTAAAGGCAAAACTGCAATACACATACCTTAAAACTGAAGCAGTAGTATGGAAGAAGATACCCTGCACTGAATCTTGGGAACATTTTGTTTTCTTAGCACAAAAAGAAAGTAAACAGATTTGATAAAATTTTATTTTGGTTTAGCCATTGACTTATAATTATGCATATAGTTACATGCTTTATTCAGAAAGTATTTTACCTTGGTTTATTCAGTTTTCCAGAGATAGAAATTCAAACTCTTGCCCACTTTCCTCTATTTCTTTCATAACAGTTGTATTCAATTTCTCATATATAATTTTGCGTGCTGTGTCTGGTTAAAGATGAGAGCAAATAAGGTGGTTGAATCAGATAATTTAAATTAAAATCTGAAAACCAGCAAAACAGAATGCTGAAGGCTAATCATTATCCCCACAAAACACTGTATATTCCATACCACAAACAAGAAACTCTATCTATTAAGCCCATGCAGTAGCAGCTAAAGATAATCTTACAGAAAAATGAGCCCAAGAGCAGGTGATGGGGACTCGAAAGGAGGTCATACCAAAGAACAGCTATTTGTTGTTAAAGCAAGCAAAACAACAAAATCTCTTGAAATAATCCTCTCTCAGGAACGAGGCCACAAAACACACACACAGCTTCTAAGCAATCTCCCAACTTGTCAGATAAAGGGAAAAGCTGTGTATTCTAACTGTAGAGATGAAATATACTCTTTCATATAACCATACTGCTGCGAAGCAACTCTAATCAATGCATTAGACCAAATACATTCCTGACATTTTGGAATAAAACTGATAGATGGTGTACTGCCCAAATACAGACTATATTTAACTATTTAACTATAGTTTCTTTTACTATGCAGTAGAATATTTCAGATTATAAGAAAATACTTTAAGACATCATGTACAGATCTATACTAGCCCCAGATATAGATTCAGGCCTCTACCATTCTACAACTTTACATCGTGTAAGACATTATTTGTTGTAAAGCATAACATATTTAGGACTAGCTAAATGTATTAAAAAAGCAGATACTATACAATTCTGTTTTCCTGCTACAGGGTGATAAAAGGAAAAGGAACTCGGGCCTATTTCACCCTTTATACCTATGGCTGTAGTGACAATGTTAAAAAGGCAAGAGGGCAGACAGAACCGTTGGAGACACTCTTAGTCAAAAGTATAAAAATGTGTGTGCTGGGCACATGATAAAATGAAACAAAATCCATGCAAAGCTGGGGTGTCCTATTTGTAGTACCTCTATCCTTATAACATCTACCTCTCTCATTATCACATATTTCCATCTACCATAATCGCTGCTTACTACTTTCTTATCCCTTAATCTGCACACTTTCATTTGCCAATATCCAAACCACGTGTTGTTTATTTCAGAAATCATTCTTTATCCTTTATTTCCAAACCAGAAAACTATCCCTAAGCTTATTAATCCTCCTCTCCCCTCACTCCATTCTTTCCTGAGCAGCAGTCTATATCAATATCTCTGTTACTTTGTCACAGGAGACACCAGGAACCTTAAACCAAGACTAGGTTCCCATACGTGAGGTGAACTGTTTTGTAAAAACTCTTATCCCATGGGACCAGTGTGGAAGTCTGCACAAGAAGACACAAAACGGACTGCGTACATGAACCGCTCAGGAGGGCAAATGGCTGGTGGCAGAAAAGCAAGTCACACCTCTCAGCTGCCCAGCCATTCTCCATAGCAGTAGCACAACGGAGATGGCGAAATAAAATGACTCAGAGGTCTTATGAAGTCTTAAGAATTAATGTTGTTCAGGGTTTCTTTAAGAAAGGATTTTATACCATACTTTGCTAGGGTTGAGTGCATGCTTACCAACCAGAAAATATTAAAATTATTTATGTCACAGTTTAATTGAGCATTACCTACTTCGTTTTACATCATTACTTATGGTTTATTCAGTGTCAGCATTCAAAGACGCCTGTAAAGAAGAAAATCCAACACATCCAATAAAAATTGAACATTTGATACACTTCTCCATCAAGATTAAGTATTACAGGAAAAATCTTTTAACTTACTGAATATAGTAATAGCTGAGTCTGACAAAGTCTTTGTACTCTAATGCTAAAACACCTCCTGTACTGTAAAATTGTGCTCTTTTCGAGCTCATTCTGGGGGCAGAAATTCTCAAGAGCCTATAGGAACAAAAAATCCTAAGGTCTCACCGGGGAAGACGAACCTTAATTTAATAGATTTGCCTTGTAGACTCTTGCGTCTTATGAAATGTTTTGACTGAAACTTTTCCTGAGATTCACCAAGTTTCATCTCACGCGCAGGCTGTTCTGAGTCTGCTTACAAGTTGTGGTGGGGAGCGGTGTGGATACGGAGTCACGCAGAAACTCAGCTGACCCTGCTCTGAGCAGGAGGTTGGACCGGCTATTTCCTGAGGTCCCTTCCAACCCAAGTTTTCCTGTGATCCTATTATAAGGTAACAGGAACTCTCTTTTGTAATCCAAACAGCTCGACGCGTGCATGGTGGGGAAAGAGCTGGATACACTGCACGTAGTTTTCTTACGGGTTTTGTTTTAGAGACCAAAACAAGCAAGCAACAAAACAACGCACGGATAGGATGCGGATACGCAGACAGCCCCACACTCGAGCTCTGAGAAAGCACGCCAGCCACGCGAAAAGAAAGTTGACCGAGTACTTTCGAGCCGTGGGGTGGGCTCCTTCCGTGTGGCTTTCTTTTCGTGGGGGAAAAACGCTGCTGACTGGTGAGCCTCGAGAGTTGGAAGCCCCGCTGCTCCTGCCGCGGGGCCCCTCCCGGCCTCCCCCTCATGAGGGGACGATCGCCCCGCAGCCCACAAGCCCCCAGCGCCGGCGGGGGCTGGACCCGCAGGCCCTTTGACAGATCTCGGCAACGAACCGCCGGGAACAGAGCACAGGGCAGGCGGGGACGCCGGTATCCGACGGCGACCGAGGCGGCCCCCGGGCGGGGCCGTGACTGAGGAGAGCGGTGCCCTCCGCCGGCTCCCGCTCCCCGCCACGCCTCAGGCGCCCTCACCCTCTGGGGCCGCCCCCTGCGGGCGTTGGTACAGCCCCGCCCGGCGCTCCCCCGCCCCACCGAGGGATGGAACCTCCCGCACAAACCCGTTTAAATTCGAGCCCTCAACGGTCGCTTTCTCCTCCGCCACTGGCAGGTGTCCGGGGCCCGCGCCCCCGCGCGCGGTGGCGTCACACAGACGCAGCGCGAGCCGAGGGAAGCTGCGCC